TCACTTTCTTATTTCTATTTTACTCTTTTTTATTCCTTTTCCTTTATCATAAATGCTGTCTACAGATATCAGCACCTAGCCTTTGGTTCAAAATTTTTAGATTAAAAAATTCCTATGGGATCATTGTGTATAATTATCTATAAAAATATGAATGATTAATTCAGAAAAGAGGTTCTCTGAGAAAAGGCATAAAAAGAAAAGAGCAAAAAACTAAAAATGTAGCTTGGGCTCACTAATGGGGTATGAAAAAAGCCATGGAATATAAACAAAGTAGGATGGGAGGCCAGAAAAAAACAATTATGAAAGAGGTGAATGTTGCCAAAGAGACTGTCAATAAAAGCCTGTTTTTATAACATGCCTCTGTTACAATATTTTCAGAAAGTATAGTTCAAAGTCAGTTAAAGCTGAATGATTGGAGACACTTGCTAAAAATCTAAGTACCTGGGCCATCCCAGATGTGGTAAGTCCAATTCTCTCAGCTTAGGTACCCAAATTGGCAACATAGAAGTTTCCCAGGGTATTCTTTTCACCCAACATTTTTATTTCAATGACTTTTACCAAGAAACTTCAAAGTGTTACTTCCCAAGAATATGAAGTCTCACTTCCTACATCAGATGTATTTGTGAAAAGCCATTAGGTGAGTGTTTGCGTGCCAAACCATTACTCCCTGAGGATTACCATGATGACTTCTAAATTATGCTTATACAGAATATCTAGCCTTTAAACAAATGAACTTTATCCCTTAATATTTCTGTATTATTCACAACAAGAAGTTGGCCAAATGGACTCTCTCATCACATTATCTTTACTCAATGTAGAAGCACATTATGCTTTTGTTTTGTAATTTTGATACAAGAGTTTCGCTCTGTTATCCTGGCTGACCTTGATCTTGTGATCCTCCTACCTTAGCCTCCCTAGGAGCTGAGATTACAGGGCTGTGTCACCAAACAGGGCTCAGAAGCAATTGGATTTAAAACTACAATATAACATTAACACATTTCATTTTTATTTTAAACTGAACTGGTTAAATATCATGCAATCAAGTTGTATTTGAAGAATTCACGGGGCAGAAAGTGCCATAAGAAGAGGTCTTCGTAAGACAAAGGCTGAAGTTTGTGGTTTGAACTTTAACTTTCCTTATGTGCTGAGCTCTGTTTAAGAAAAAAAAAAAGAATTTGTTAACTTATCACAGAGAGAAAACCAAGAGGTATGAAGTGTGAATCTATTCACAGATAGGAAGCAGCGAGTTGTGGTGGTACACATACAGCACCAGAGATGGAACCATGCAGATCACAAATTTGAGCCCAAGGTACATTTTAAGACCCTGTGTCAAAAACAAGGAGGGGAGGCTGGCTGGGGCCTGGATATGGAGATAGCTCAATCCATAAAGTGCCTACCACACATGCACAAGAACTCGAGTTCAGCCAGCACCCACATAAAATGCCCAGCACGGTATGTATCTATAACTCCAGTACAGGAGGAGGGGGGTAAAGAATGAAGGGTGAGAGGTAGAGGGGGATGAAGTACGATTAGGAGGATGGGGAGAGGCAGGTGAATTTCCGAAATTCATTGGCTAGCTAACTTAGCTGAATCAATGAGCTCCAGGTTTACTGAGAGGCATTGTCTCAAAAACTTAGGTGGAGCCTGGTGGCACACACTTTTAATCCCAGCACTCTGGAATCAGAGACAGGAAATCTCTGTGAGATTGAGGCCAGCCTGGTCTACATAACAAGTTCTAGGCCAGCTGGGGCTATAGGAGACCCTGTATCAAAACAAACAAATAACCTTAGGTGGACAGCAATCAAGGAAGACACTGGATGTCGACCTCTGACCTCCACATGCACACACATGCAAGTACACTTGCATGCACAGGGACATATGCCCACACAAAAACATAACCCCCCCCCACACACACAGGGGTCGGGGGGCATAGCTAAGAAAATCCTAGTTAATCTCAGATGAGGTAACTGAATCCTTACATGCACTCACTTATTAATCCTTACAATCCTGTGAAGTATGGCTTAAACCTCATTTTCCAGACAAGGAAGCTGAGAAATGGAATCATAAAACCTTACTGAGACCTCACAGCTAGAAATAGGAAGTGAGAGTCAAAGAGGACTCTTATTTCCAGAATCTATACTCCACTGCTGCAATGTAATATAAAGGAATTTTGAGATGTTGAAACAGTTTAGCTCTCTCTATAGGAAGAAAGGCATGCTGTTCATGTTCTGAGATTATCTTATTTGGCTCTTTATACAACTGCTTTCAAGAAATTTTGGAGCAGTTTCATCCCTGCTTAGGTTTAGCTATTAGATCCCATACTATTGACCTTGAATTATGACAACAGTTTCCAAATTAGCATAAATGTGGAATTTAAGTATCATACCTAAAAGTAGAAAATTATTTTAAAAGATACTTAAGTCTCTCTATAAAGGCAGCATACTGACTTAAAGCCACTTGTCAGATTTCAATGTATCAATCATTACTTGTTAAAAATGCAGATGTCCAGTAGGTTTGAGGTTTTGCATTTCTAGTAAATTCCCAAGTGATGGGAACACTGCTATGTGGCATCATATTTCTAATAGTCAGGGTTTAGACCTCAAACCTAGATTAGATTCCTCTGTTGGAGTTCCAGCTCTATGACTTATTAGCTGTGTAATCTTCTCTTTATATACCTCTACAACTGTAAAGCAGTGAAATCACTAAAAGAGTGCTATCAAGATCATTCAAGTTAATTCACAGATGGTACATTGAAGACTCTGTGGCATGTAGAAAGAATTCAATAAATGTCATCTCTTGGTATTATTGAAAAATATTAAAAGCATATATCATGTCCCATTAGAAAGCCATTTACAGAATCGACTGATCCAACAGAAACAATAAACACAATGCTTCACTCTTATCCAAGCAGTAACTAGAACATCATCGTACACTGAAGGACATTAAACACTGAAGTTAGACCCACTATGTAGCTTTATTAAATATATATAAATCTGAAACTGTCCTGAATGAATTTACCTGAAGCTGGCTAGGTCCAAGATACTTAAGGACCGTACTTCATTTCTGAGTCAGAAGACTATTTTTATAATACAGGTACATAATGTGTTAGAATTCATTAATTTGCAAAGCTCCCTCTAAATTTAAAAATATCCATATTTGCTTTAAAATTTTCATTTTTTATGAAATAGATATTACAAGTACAATTAATTTGAACAATAATGATGATTTAAAATTTTTGTTTTTGAGTAACACCATAGTTTAAGTGAGTTGGAAAATTTAACCCAATCTTTCACAGGTAACTGTGAACATTAAAAATACATTATTATTGGTTCTTTGGGAATTTCATTCAATATATTTTGATTATATTCAGAGCACCTTCCCCCTCCACTTTATGTCCTCTTTTTTTCTCTTCCTTTAAAGGCCTATCGGGTTTAATTTATATTCCCCAAATGTTCTTTGGTGTGGGGCCATCTCTTGGAGTCTGGCCAACTTAGCAGGTTCATACCCTAAAAGAAATGACTGCACAATGGAGTATAATTACCTCTTCCTGTTAAGGCCTGGAGTGTAGAAAAAATATATTACCATCAGAATTATAGTGATGAGAGTGATATTATATAGATGTTAGAATCAGTAATAAAGATTAAAATTTCAACCTGAAATATGCCTCAGCATCTATCTCTGTTGAACTAGACCTTTCTCTCTCCCTTGGTCACCTGCTGTTTCTTGTTTTAACAATATTATTAGAGGCAAAAATCACCAGTATCAAATCATTTGGAGTACGAGTACAAGAAGAACAGATTAAGAACAATTAAACCAAAACCGCATCTTGTTGTTTCATGTTTTTCTGAATAAAATATATCTGAAAAACAAAATTTTCTGAAAATGCCCAAGCTAACTTTTTCTCCTTAACGTGGAAGGAATTAGCTGTCTCTTAACTCCAGGGAAGAATTTTACTTCAGTATGACCTATTTATACATCTTAGATTTATAATATGAATTTTTTAATGACCCCAAACTGAAGGAAATGTAGAAACCTACCTGAAAACTTGACAATAAGGTTGTGACACCAACCAAAACAACTAGAGAATTTAAAGTTTAACTGACACAAAAAAACCCCAAATCAGTCTGTTATCCTCCTAATTTAAAGAACAGTTACTCCCTGAAATAGTGATGGCATGTCAGCTGCTGCTTTGAAACGCCTGAATTTTGTCATTTGGCGTTTGTGTCACAACCTTAATATTATTTAAACATACCTCCTAACATCTATTATTTTAAAAATATTTTGGAATTGAAGATATTCTAAAGCTTTGAAGAAGCAAACCTCAAAGCACTGCAATTCCTAGTGTGCCACTTTTATTAGAAGTAGTGCATAAAACAATTGCTGTTGACAAATCTAATTCATTAGAAGGTGAGATGGCTGCATTTTAAAATAACTGGCTGGCATCATTATCTGCAGTGCCTTTTATGAATTATTCCTCTTTTCCCTTTTGACTGAACTTGTCAGTTCTTTCACAGCCTGAGTGCTATGCCTTATAGTCAGTGCTTTCAACATGTTTAGACAAGTCACAAGTTAAATAAGAAGTGTATTTTATTTTCTAGAAATGAGAAAGGGTAACAGAAATACAGATTATTTCATTCAATGCATTGATTTTTAACTAAAGACAAAGTCAGTTAGTGGTGGTTTCACCTCACACAAAGGATTTAGAAATAAAAGTAGACTGTTTGTGTAGAAAGGGGAGTTTCAAAGAGAGTGACAATAAGAGAGATGCTGGAAGCCTGGCTGCACTGTCATGCAGAAACTTGGTTGAAAATTGAATTGTGCTTCCCCTGACATTGGAGATCAGGTATATCATAAGGCTGACAGCTGGCTGGCACGCTAACTTCCCAAGAAAAGTACGAGCTGTATTCTCTGAGAGGCCACAGGAATAAAATTATAGAAGCCTGGGAGAAACAGTAGGCAGAGTACACATTACTCAAAATATGAAGAAAAACATTTCTTACCTACTTTTATTTCAGAAGAATCTAAGAATGAGCTGGTCTAATCCCAAGTAGGGAAAGAGTTATTTCCTATGAGTTATTAGTAGAATGGCCTCTCCTTTAGTCTCTCCAGCAGTCTTTTCCAGTTTTTATAAATAATTGCACAAAGCTTCATCACTGACAGGGTAGAGGATGGGACACATTCAAAACTTGAGTTATCTTCTCCATCATGACATTATAGCCTTCAGGCTTGAGCCATGAACCAGATGTGAGTGACACGTAAAGACATCCTAGGCATGGGATACCAAAATGTCAATTAACGAAAAGTCCAGAATTTATAGGCTCATGCATAACAGTGTCACCTAGACAACATATATTTAAAACAGTCCATTATTTTCTACATACTGATCATACCTAAAGTACTTCAGCTCAAAGAGAGTAAGGCATACTGAAGATGGTAGGCTCAGAGCCTGGGCACAAACAACCTAATAAGCTAGGCTCAGCTACTCATTGTCAAAAGGTCAATTAAAGAGACAAGGAGTGGTGCAAAGCAGAGGAGGATGCTCACTGTGGTCACACTGGGAGGAGGAACAAAGCAATCCAGTAACCCCTGCCCCAGTCCATCTTTGGGGTTATGATGAGAGGTTTGGGTTTAAATAGATGGCAAGAGATATACATAGCTAAGCAGTCCTGCCAAGGCATGGATCCCATTCATCACTGACCATCAATGTCTTGGCTCTAGTCTCTCCTGAAAGGTAGTCTGACAAGTAGAGTTGTGTGAAATCTTTCTCCTGGAGAAAAGTTCCTCCTCTGGCTCGCATCAGCCTCCAGACTTTTCCTCCTCCCAGCATAAGACTCATGGAGAAGTTCTACTTCATTGAGTAGCATTCCTTCAATAGTATGATAACTAAAGAAAGGGGAAAAGTGTCTCTATTTAGAATATCCTTGGCCTGTCAGGAAGGTTACTGTTGTACCATGGAAAACAGGCAATGCCATTCAATCCAATTACCTTTTCCTGTTTAGTTACCTGTTGCCCCCTAGAGTTTATTAAAGCCATATCTTCTCCACTTCTCTGAGAGATATTAAAAATAGATATCTGAGAGCTCTCCGCACCGGGACTCCCTAAGCCACATTCACCCTTCCATCCCTCCCGCCGTTCTATACTCCTAGTTTGGGCCCTGCACCATTCCTAGTCTTGAGGCCCCAGACACCTGGGGAACCATACTGCTTCCTGATCCTTCTCACCCAGACCAACTCAGTCCCTTTCTTGGGCTCCAGGAGCACCGCTTCTGGTCCTGGCCCCGCCCTCACCTCTCTCTGCTTCCCTGGGCATGCACCACCCGCCAGACTCTTTCTGGGGCTGAGAGCCTCTTTCTGGGGCTCCGAGGCCTGCCTTTACTCTCCCCGATCCTTTGCATCCAGTACAACCCAGCTACTCAATCCACTCCCTGGGAAATCTTGGGGCTTCTTCCCTCCCCATCTGCCTTTGCATCCATG